GAGTGTCTGCCTTCAGCTCAGGGCATAGGATCCAGGATCGAGTCCCACACTGGGCTCCTTGCAGGAAGCCTGCTTCTTCCTCTGCCTGTGTCTCTTCCTCTCTCTCTGTGGCTCTCATGAATAAATAAATAAAATATTTTTAAAAATAAATAAAAATACATAAAAGAATTCTCTGCTGCTCTGAAGTAGTTTTACCATTTTAGAGCAGAGCAGGAATACTCTGAGGAAAGCCAGAAAATATTTGACTGATAGTTGTATTGAGCAAATTTTTTAAATTTTTATTTTCTTAAGTAAGAAAGGGGAAGAATTTTATAGAGAATATAAAATAACAATATACGGCTGTCCCTTTGGCTAAACCCTTCTATACACAAGAAGAGAAAGTTATAAACACAGCTGACTACAACACAAGTAGAATATGCTAAATGCTAAAATAGAAGTACAGGCAGGTTCGTTGGGGAATTGAGAGAGGGAGGTTAATTCTCTATCGATAAAGAAATTTACTAAAATTCAGTATTTTCAACCAACCCTGAGAATTAGATATGAGAACTTTTGTGGTATTTCAAGAAGAACTTATTTATAACCATCTTGGATTTTTTTCCTATGAGAATCTGTAATCCACTGTTTATTGGTCTTTAGACTAACTTACAATCAAGCTTTAATAACAGAACTTTTGCTTCCAGGAAACTGTAACAATCCTGTTTTGGCTACTTGACCTAAATTCTTACTTAACTTGTTTCTCTCATTAACTTCTCTAGTACTGTCCCCAAAATTTGAACCCCAAATTATTTTCTATCTATGGAAAATGCAACCTCTTAGAGTCATAAAATTAGACTAATTGGCTTACTCTATGTGTCTTAATCTCCTAGAGTTTTTGGTATATAGAATTTAAGTTAGAATTTTAAAATTGTGTATTTCCTTTTCACTTTTGAGTTAATAAAATGATTTTGCCAATGACAAGACAAAATATTTCTTTTGCAGTGCATATTCATGACTAAAAAATCCTTCCATGAGCAAATAAAACTTGTTTCAAGCTGACATGTTTAGACCCCTGAGAATCCACATATTTCTGGGATTCTGCAGTGATTTTTTAAGGTGATCTTCACATTAGTCATGTTTGAGAACTACTAAGCTATTAGCTAAAACGTCAAAATTCTGTGTCATTTTTTTTCTTTAAAAATTATGGTCATGGGGCTCATGACCTAACACACTTCCAACAGGGGTGTCTGGGTAGCTCAGCTGGTTAAGCATCCAACTTGGTTTGGGCTCAGGTCATGCTCTCAGGGTCATTATCTCAGGGTTGTGAGATTGAGCCCCACATTGGGCTCTGAAACTCTCTCTCCGTCTGCCACTCCCCACCTCACACTCTTTGTCTCTCTCTCTCTCTCTCAAATAAAATAAATATTTAACATACTTCCAACAGAATGGATAGGCTTTAGGTCTAACCACTATACTCAGACGTAGTAGGGAAGTCACTTTAAAATGAGAATTTCAACTGGCTCTTTTGATTAGCATAATAGAAGCAGCATACTTTAGTAGAAAAACTAGAAGTATTTCAAAGGAAGCTAGATCTACTGGAATTCGAATGTTCTTAGTTAATAAGAACTTGGTCAGGTTAATAGACAGAACCTATCCCAAGTTGATACAATAATGTCATCCTTGAAGGATTGTTTTGAGAAATAGAGATAATCTGTGTGAAGTAATGTGAGTATCTCGCATTTGGAGGCGGTCAGTGGAATGTGGTAGTTATGATTATAAGCAAATATTTTATGGACTAAGTTGGTATATTCTGAAATAGCTTATAGATTTTATTTTTTAAGACCTTTATATAGTTTATATCTAATTTTATGTATTAAAGAGTACTGCATATGCAACAAGTCATCCATAAACATGGTACAGATTTAAAGCATATCGTCAGTACAATTTTAGATGAATTGATGACACACCCATGACATTATAAAGAAAAGGTCAGGACTTGAGGCATCCATGCCTGACCTTTGAGGATCACATTTCAGAAGCTTTTAACTATCCTTGCTGACAGCTATCGAGGCCTTGACTTCTTTTTTTAAATTTTTCTTTTTAAGATTTTATTGATTTATTCATGAGAGGCACAGAGACACAGAGATATAGGCAGAGGGAGAAGCAGTCTTCCTGTGGGGAGTCTGATATGGGATTCAATCCCAGAACCCTGGGATCACGACCTGTACTGAAGACAGATGCTCAACCATTGATCCACCTAGGTGCTCTAAGGCCTTGACTTCTATGTGAAATAATCTTGATCTTAGTAAAATGGGTGGATCCACATAAGAAAACTATTTTTCATGCCTTTGTGTTTTTCAAAATCTGATATTAAGGTTCATATTTTTGTTGTATGTTATCTTTTATTTGAGAATCCTTTGGCCATAAGGTCAGAAGACTTAAGTTCTTCTGCTTAGCTAATACTCTTCTGTGTTAGGTCTGGTTTTGTGGAATCAGAGATTGAGGTATGAATTTTTAGGAAACTACTCTCAGAAGAGTAGTTGGGGTGAGGAGGGAGTGCCTAGGTAGCTCAGCCAGTTAAGTGTCTGCCTTCGGCTCAGGTCATGATTTCAGGATCCTGGGATCCAGCCCTGGATTAGACTCCCTGTTCAGCAGGGAGCCTGCTTCTCCCTCCCCTCTCCCTGCCACTCCCCTGCTTGTGCACACATGTTCTCTCTCTCTGTCAAATAAATCTTAAAAAAAAAAAAAAAGTAGTATGGGAAACAGATTAAAGGAAGGGGGGAAAAGCTAAGCAGGGATATTGTTCTGCCTAGAGACTAGCTTCAGCCTGGTCCCACCAGATCAAAGGGTGGCGGGGAGAAGGGGAGCTCTGGGGCACAAATTATCCCACAGAGTCAGTCAGGGGAGCAGCCCTTGGCTCATGGCCACCTCCTAGGAGCAGCGGTGCCCTAACCTACCAAGGGAGGCAACTCCAGATCTGTGAGCCATTAGCACCTTGCACTCACAGCAACTAGGGGATGGATGCACAGCCCAGTGAGAGTTTGGGCAAGGCACTACAGCAGCCTCTTGGGTGTCTGCCCATAGACAGAGCTGTCAGATTCTTTGTGTGGCCTGTGCTTTGGCTGCCTGGAAGTTCTAGACTTGAGTTTCATATTTAATTCCTTTAGTAACTTCAACAAGGATTATTTAATTGCATTTTTTCTCTCTTCCTTCTCTTTGTAACTTTAGTCTTTCATTTTTATGGTTGTCTTTGCACTTACTATGCTAGCAATTTTATTGTAAGTAGCCTAAATTCTTTTTGAAAGTAGATGAGTCTAAAATAAAAATAAATGTGTAAACTAAAACCAATTTTATAAGTAGAAAAGTACCAGAGTCTTTCTTAAAAATCAAGTGTTGAATAGAAACAGGATATTCACTATTAAAATTTATCGTAGTATGTAGTTATGTTTTAATAATTACTCCAGAATAAAACAAGAAATACTATAAATCCAAGGAGGTGATACTTTTATATATGTATAAAGTACAATTAAGTGGATAAAAAAGTCATTGGAAATAATGAAGAGATATGCAACAGATTCTGCGAGATTATAGGCTAGGATACAAATCCTCAAAAGTCAGTAAAATTAATTTATGCTGAAGCCATGGAGCTAAAAATATGGTAATAAAAGGAATGTAATGAGAAAACATTGAATCCAGAATTGAAGTTCTGTCTACATACCCCAGGCTGCTCCTGCCCATGTGTATGTCATGTGCTGACTGATTAACTCCTCCCCTGTCCATGTTGGGCAGGCATCACTGGGAGGACTTCTGAGGGCACTCCCTTCACGTTTACTCACACAACGAGTCCACTAGTTACCACTTTCTGACATCACTTACATTTCTCTTAAATCTATCCACTCTTAGGGTACCCAGTTTTCCTGACTTAGCTCATTGTCTACCTTTTTGCTGATTCTTTCTGTCAGATATATACATAAATATATATATATTTATGTGTGTATTTATACATATACACGCATATCTGCTCCCTAAGTAAAGTAAAATAAGCATGATATTTTGGGGCTTTCTGGTGTTTTCTTCCTTTGGGTTGGTTTTGGTAACTTCTTATTTAAAAAAAAAAATGTTTAAATATATTCAGATAAATTAGACCAGGGTTTTTCAACCTCATCACTATTGACGTTTTCAACCAGAAAATTTTTTGTTGTCTGAGCTGGCCTGTGCATTGTAGGATATTTAACATCATTTCTGTCCCCTGCCCACTTTCAGTACCACTACCCCAGTTATGACAACCAGAAATGTCTCCAGGTGCTGCCATGAGTCCTCTGCAGGCTCCACCTACCCCCAGTTGGAAACCTCTGGATTAGACCAGGAACCACTGGGCATTGTGTGCTTACCCTCCTCCCACATGCTGTGTGCATTTTCTCACATTTAATCCTCACAGCCTATGAGTAGGTGCTGTTTTATCCTCATTTTCGATTTTCACATGAGCAAACCAAGACTTGGATTCAGTAATATGTACTGTATAGCCTTGTGCCCCTGTGTAACCTTGTCCCTACCTGGTCTGACTCGAGAGCCAGGTTCCCTCAGGTTAAATCCCATCTCTCCACTTAACTAGCTGAAGAACTTGGGCAAGCTAGGGAATGTATGTGTCTCTGCCTCAGTTTCCCTAGGTACTAAGAATAGTACCTGCTGCCCAGAGTCATCCTGAGATTTTTTTTTAAAGATTTTATTTATTTATTCATGAGAGACAGAGAGAGAGAGATAGAGAGAGAGAGGCAGAGACACAGGCAGAGGGAGAAGCAGGCTCCATGCAGGGAGTCCGACATGGGACTCGATCCTAGGACTCCAGGATCAGGTCCTGGGCTGAAGGCAGCACTAAACCGCTGAGCCACCTGGGCTGCCCCATCCTGAGTTTTAAACCAGTGAGTATACTTATTCAAAGGACTGAAATAGGACTGGCATATCCTTATAAAAACTTTTGGCAAGTCACTGAAAATACAAAGGTAAAAAAAGACACTTGTCTCGTAGTCTACTTGGAAATGCAATCATGTAAACCGATAATTTATTATAATAGAGCATTCTCTGAGAGTAAAGAGATGGAAACAGCAAACTTCTTCAAGGAGTCAGGATTGTGTTCACAAAGGAAACTCCGCATGAACCCTGAAAGATGAGTCATAGCTTGGGCAGGCAGAGGGTAAGTGTAGGAGGATTCCAGGTGGAGGCATGCAGCAGGGGGGAATCCTACAGGGATGGAAGGACTCAAACCATTTGCTCAATGCTGTGTCCAGTCTAGATAGAATTAGGCCATTATTTATATGAAATGGCTGCTTTTCTGGAGTTCAAAACATTCCTGTGTCTATTTAAGAAAACATTCCAGAACTAAATAAAAATTATTTTTTTGAAGTACATATAGATTTTTGTAGAATATATACTCTAAACTTTTAGTATAGGACTGTGGGATACATAAACTACATATAAAGCAAGGAACATTAAGCCAAATGAGAGAGCCATATAGATGTCAAAGCAATCCTGTCCCATTAATTTGCATAAAAATATTATTTTTATCAGTTATTTTTAGTATGACATTTATTTACAAAATATTTTGATCATCCAAAAGGAATCTACACTTCAGTTATTTAAATTTGTTTAGTCTTTTCCTAATTCTCATATGAAATAGTACCTTTTCATTTTAGCTATTCTATTTTTTTTTTAAGATTTTATATATTTATTCGTGAGAGACATAAGAGAGGGAGAGAGGCAGAGATACAGGTAGAGGGAGAAGCAGGCTCCACACAGGGAGCCCGATGCAGGACTTGATTCCAGGACTCCAGAATCACCTCCTGAGCCTAAGGCAGATGCTTAACCCCTGAGCCACCCAGACATCCCTAGCTATTCTACTAGTAGCTAATGACATTGTTGCAAAAGAGAATAAGTAAAGTAGGTATAAAATATTTTAGTCTCTACTTCCTTAGGCACAAATGAAAAATATGTACCCATATAAAAGATATTCTTCCCACTTCCCGAGTTACTAATACACAAAGAAAATAGTCCTTTTTACCCCCTTCGCCAGTACATGGTGAGCAATGACTAAGTTTAAATTGCATGAATTATTAGAAACAACAGTGTGCAGTGTCCCCTTTGCACATTTGAAAATCCAGGTTTTGTTTTCTTGTTAAGATATTTGAATTGTGTGTCATAATTTATATTTTTAAAAACATTCTTTAATACTTTGAAATAATTCTAGTAACTAATTGAAACAGTTCATTTGAGAACAGCAGTGTTTTTGTTAACGTGAATCAAACATGACAACAAAAACGACAACTTGAAAGTAACTTTTATCATCCTAATAGTAATCCGTGAGAGGTTAAATGAGAGGGAAGTGAAGGGATCTGAATTGTTGTAGGATCAATGAACTTAATCTGGAGCATCCTCTTGCTAGCAGCAGAAGACGGCACTTCTTGAGCATCCTAAAGCAAACTATGTTTATTCTCACTTACTTTGTACCTAATGTTTTAAAGTCCTAGAGGTGTCAGTTTGCATTTGGTTTGGTTTTGCTTTGTTATGGTAGCATTTACCAATTTCTTTTTCCTTTGTTCTGCCTACCTAATCTTTGAATATCCTGTTGTTGGCTTCCACACCTGGACACAGATATTTCTAAAATGAAAAAGGAAGCAGAGAGGTCACAGTAGGTGGGAACTTGGGGAGGCTATTTTGGGCAACATCTAAGAAAGGTGGACATTTCTTCTTTCCCTTAGATTCAAACAGTGGGGCTTGAAAACAGGAGAAAGTCTCTGTGGTGTTGCAGACAGACCACAAAAGCAGATGACACCCTAGATCAACACCAGAGAAAGATGTTTTTTATACTTGGCTATTTAGTTCTTTTATAAAATCCATTTCAGTAACAATTCAGAAGATACATCAACAGTTTATCTTAAAAAGGGGGGAAAAAGCCACCAATTAATTGCTTTAATATAACAGAACTTCTCTCAATTATAAACCCCTAGATAAACATGAAAATAGTAATGGAAAAATAATCTTAAAACAGATATGTAATTGTACACAATAATTTGTCGGCATCTTAAATGACCTCATTTATATTTTTTTCTAAAATAAGAAGACATAAGTCACAGAAGGCAGCTAAAAATTCCACACGCATTACACAGTTATTTACACATAATCTTTCAGGTTGTATGCTGAATTGCCCTCTAGTTGTGTGGCGGGGATATGTTGCTGCTTGGGTGGATAGAGCCAAGCTTCTGGATTCTTTTCAATACAGGAAGTGCAGAAAATCATGCCAGAGACAAACAGCAGTATGGCCGAAATGAATCCAATATAGACGGCTCCTCCAGGTTCATGTTTGTTGCTTTCTGGAACTGTCAGATCGAGAAAGTCTGCTATGATCTCCTTTGTGTACCACACTGTTGGTATCAAACCAGAGATCCCTGCAGACATGAAACAGACTCCTCCAGCAAAAGAAGCATGACTCTTTGTTTCTCTGTCCCCTCCTAAGCGAGTGCATTTCATTCCTACTGTAGAAGTGCAGATCCCCAAAGCAGACAGAACACACGCCAGGACCATGGTGGCCCGTGCAGCCTGCACGTAGATGGGGAGGGACAGAATGGAGAACTTCAGGGTACAGCTGAACATACCGGTGCTGTACCATGTGCAGTCCATCCAAAGCCCTTGCAGCTGTACAATGGCTGTTATGATGTTGGAGCCCGAATCCACATTCACCTTCCAATTAGGCAGCAGAGTGGCTGTGAGCACTCCAGAGACTCCAGATAAGGCCAGGACAAAAGCAAGGAGCTGGAGCCCTGCTGATGCCATGACGTCACCTTTATCTTTGTCCACGGTGACCCTGTATTTGATTATGATGGCCTTTGATCAAAATTATAGCTATATCTGTGCAGCAGAGAACCAAGTAACAAAGGCTAGGGAAAGAAGACAAAAATCAGGATTGAAAGAAAGCATAAACAAAACGGCTTCCAATTCCACCAACAGTGGGAGCAGAGAACACATTTGAATCGACCCCAGAGTAGATGAGGACACTCTAGCCTAGGAGAAAAGCTCCCACCAGGCTCTCAGAGGCTGCCGGCTGCCATTCTCCTGTTTGTGGATGGGTGGTGCTTGATACATGGCATAAAGGAAAGAGCTGTCCACTTGTTCTTTTTAAAACTCGAACTATGCTGAAGTTGTCTGTAGTGTAGACAGCGTGCCTTGTTAGGAGATTTTGGCATATCAAATTCCAGCTGTAGGATCTAATAAGAATTTTAATAGTATTACAGGTTTTTAACACTTTCTTTTCTTCCTTATGACCTACAGAGTATTTTAATTAGAAAGTGTTTAAGCTCACTTCTTAAAAATGATTTATAAATACATATTAGAAAAGTTTCAAGCATCAAAAAATGATTTCATTAAAAAAATTATTAAGCACTCACCATGAGCCAGACACATGACCCAAGTGAAGTACTTACTTAAGGAGGAAAGGAAATTCGTGGAAAGAAGGCAAAGCCATAGGCATGATTATCCCTAATTTCCAGTTAATAACCTTCTGCAAAATCCTTATCTAGGTTAACACTCGTTTCACTTCAGGTACAAGATACTCAAAACTGGAACAATTAAGCCACTGTCCTTTGCTTGTGAGAATGTGAGATCCTGTCTAGTTGGGACCAGAATCATTCCCTGACCCAAATGAAGTGTAGTCTGCTGTAAAACCGGTTATTCTGAAGGCTTCAGAAGTAGTGACATTGAATCTTGAGAGTACATGCCAGAAATAATCACATCATTTAGTTGTATATGAAAGGATATAAAAAATAACGTAACTTTTTTTTTTTAAGAAAAGACAAAAGATTTAGCACTGAATTTGTGGCTTGGCTGTGCTTTCACCTGGTAATATACCCTGCCTTAAAAGAAATACAGTGGTTTCTGAAATACAGAAATAACAGCTTTTTTATGTTTCTGTATTAATTTTAAATGATGTATTAGAGTGGCTCTACCACGATTCACATATATTTCACAAAAGGCAGTATGGGCTCTGAATCCAGAACACTGGGGTCAATTCTTAGCTTTCCAGAACCTCTCTGTGCCTTAGTATTCTCTTATGAAAAATGGGGAGGATTATTTACATATCAAAGAGTTAAATGTATTTTAAGGGCTTTGAACAATATCTAACACATGGTAAGTACTCTACAAATTATAATTGACACGGTATATTTGTTTCATGTCATGTGACAATTGATAATGGTGTTTGAAATTTCTCTCTTCATTGAGCTGATTTATTTTCGTAGAATCTTAGAGCTGAAAGAAACTGTAGATATAAATTTGTGCATCATTTTTTCAGATAAGGAAGGACTCTGAGGTGGTCAGATCACCCTCTGCCGCACAGGTTCTCAGCAGCAGTGCCCTGGTCTTCCGCCTCTCCCCACCTTTACCCCAGTATTCCTTGGTGAGAGCCTCTCCGTGTGCTCCCCCGAGAAGCAGAGAAAATGCTACATCTGGAGGCAGAAAGCACCATTAACTATCAACTTCATTCACTCCCTGTTCCACCAAGAAAAGAACCCACTTGAGACGGCATTAACAGGACAAATGGCTTAGCCTTATAGACTCACGCAAGGAGGTTGATGCCTGGCTTCTATAAAATATCTGAAGTAATTCTAATCTATGCCTGTATTAAAAGTACATACTTAACGTAGTTAAAACATTGGTTCTCTAAGAAGTTAAAACCCTGGGCTGTCTAAATTCCCTTGTTCTATTTTTGTTCACAGTCTTAAAATGCAACAATTTTAGGGGAGGTTTTCCTGAAATTTTAAATTCTTAAGTATCAGATTGATATACACATCAGAGTACTTAGGCTTTATGTGCAACCATATAGTTCATTTCTTTTCTGTTTTCCAAATTTCTTTTCATATCTGAGACCAAAATAGAAGTTAAAGATTCTAGAAAAAAATGAAGCGTGCTTATAGTTTCGTAATAGCTGTTTTCAGGTTTGGGTTTTAACATTTCAGACTCCAGCCAGTTCACTAAATTACTGCCTTCCCAGACCATTTTCAGCTTAGAGTTTCCTCAACGTCGAGATTGCTGTTAACATTCTCTAAGAGCATCTCATTTCTCTTTTTTTCTTACTGTGGTTGAGTAACCTTTATGTGTTCATCAGTCTATGCTCAGCTTCCCAATTATAACCTTTTTCTTCCCATTAACCAATACATTTTATAAATTTCAGTGTAATTCAGGCTTGCAGACAGCTTGTTCATCTTAATTAACAAGTACTGGCAGTGATAAATTACAGACAGCCAAAATCAGCGTAAACAATATGACATTGCATTCAGTTCGCATAGTGCTCGCTTACTGTTGAATATTGGCTTTTAAATGCTTTCTTCTGCACAGAGAACTTATGCAGAAAGAATTTGTCCTCCACAATGAAAGTCACTATTCTGTTCCTTTGTAAAAATATACTGGCATCTTAGCTATATTGTTATGAAGTCTTTTTTTCCTTTCCAGCCACAAGTATGATACAGTTTGTGGCCTGTTCTCTCAATTTCTATCTGATGCAGAATAAAAGCATACTTTGTTTCGCTGGTGGTGGTGGTGGTGAAATGCTCTGAAAGTAAGCAGAAGCAATGGGGTCACAGGTAAAAACTTAGTTCCAAATAGAGAAGTCTCTTATAGTTTTAAAACATACTGACTGCATACAGAACAGAACTATGAATGTTAATTTTTTTAACTATTTGCCAACAGAAAGTCTGGAATGGATTTCATTAAAACGTAAAGTCAGTTTTGCAGACAAGATTTATTTATAACAAAAATGTAAAAAAACAGATTTACAGCTTCTAATTCAAGCTAAATGAATCCTTAAAGGTCTCTATGTTTCTGAGCGTTATAGAAGCTTCTCATTTTCCATACCTTTTTGCCAGTAGCCTTCAGTGTCTTAACTCCCTTCTGTCAGTTGTCTTCAAATTAGCTGTATGATGAGGAGAAGCTACACACATGAGGCTCATCTCACAGCTTCTGAGTATTAGTGACAAAGCTCCAACAAGTAAACTTGCAGATAAAGAGCACCATGGAAATCGGAGGTAGAAATTGCTGATGGTGCTAGAAGATAAATACCAGGTTCTCCATCCCATTTTTTGAGCTGTGGGAGAATTAAGAAAGGAGAGGCGGGGAAGGGAGGGAGTTGTTGTTACAACAGGATTTGTCGAAACCTGAAAGCTGAAAATGCTTTTGTGTAATTGTATACAGAGGAGGAATTATTTGGGTGCTGACAAAAAGGCTTTCTTTTCCTTTAATATTATGTTTTAGCCCACAGTTATAATTTATTTTTGAATTTTTATCTGTGTTGGAAGATCTCATTTGTTATTTTATGTCCCCAATTAAAGAATATGGTCTGAAATTATTTTTAACTAGATTGTGCTTTGCAAATGATAGTTGAGGCTATCTCTTTATTCGAGTGCTTGTAACTTGCCTGAAATCAAGTCATAAAATTGGTAACTTTCAAAAAAACATTCAAAAGACAATTAAAAACAATTTTTAATAAAAGAAAAATAAAAACTCCACAACAACAACTATTGACTAGAATCCGACCATTAAACCAATAGGTATTTTTGGAGGGGTGTCCTGAATCTTTTTCTGTTATTCTTTCCACTGAGAAAAGTTTCTGAAGTATAATTTAATAAATTAGACCTTCTAGAAAATATTGTAAAGAAATTACACCAGAAAGAAAAAAAAGAAAGAAAGAAATTACACCAAAGTGATGTGAGGGAGCATATAAAATGAAACAGATCAAATATTGAGGTCCTACTACCATGAATAGTGATACAGCTATATTTCACGTCCATCTATTTTGGGTTCGCATTTTATTTTTCTTCACTAATTTTAATTCTACAAGCTATAAATTCATAGCCACTGTAGAGAAAGAAGGTAATTTTATGATTGCTTTTTTCAAATTTTCCAAATATAGCCATTTCTTTAAAAACAGTGAATAGAATGCACATTTCAATTATCTGGATTTTTCTAGATGTTTTTGTTGCTTTGTTTTCATCTTGTCTAAGTCTGGCAGTTAGTGATATATTTTCTTTTCTTAGAAAAATAATGTCTGTGGATTTTTAGCCATAGTGGTGTAATTTTAATATATGAGCTTACTTTCTTCTGTTTCATGGAAATATTTAAGTAATTCTTTGTGTAAATACTGGACAAAGTAGAGTTGAATTTCAGGCACGAACAGTAACAGCATTGTTATTTTTGCCGTAGCGGAAGAAACCTGCCAGATCCCTTTAGTGCTTTGCCTCGCTTTGCTCTCTGCCATGGTTGTCAATACAGATTCACCTGTGGTGAGGCTTCCTGATGGCAGGTGGAGGGGCCAACCTGCTCCCAGCTCTGGCCTCCAGGGTAAGAAGGCCTTATTTCTATTTCCAACACATTTTTGATCATTCTTCTGCCTTGACGGGGAACACTTATCCAATAAAATATTAGCTTCTCCTAGGAAAGCAAACTTCTGAAATGCAAATAACTTTCATAAATTACAGACGTTTAATAAAGGTAGAATTCCTTGTATAAAAAAAAGGAGATGGAAAAGTAGAGGTTGATAGAGAAATACAATTCAGTGACCTCATCTACTTCCACTGTGAACATTAAACAGGATTAAATCTTTTAAGTCGAGAGACTTTTTCATAGGTAAGTCTCCCCCTAACCTTAGTTCCTGCCTCTTCCTGGGCCCTCTCGCCTGCACACTGTAGTACTCTATCCATGCAGCAGCCCATGCGGCATTACTGATGGAGGCGGCGGACTGTCCTGGACAAAGCCAAGCTCCTGACCTTTCCCACACCTGTTCTCATTTTCCCCATGTCCCATTCAGGTCAAACTCATCCTTTGATTTCACAATCCCTACCGCCCTGGAACCCCACTACTGCTAACTCTCTGACTAAAGAACCTCACAAGGGCAAAGACTCCCATATGACTTGTTTGTTGCTGAGTCTCCCGTGCCAGGAATGGTGTCTGGCACATTGTAGAGGTACAACAGATCTTTGGTGAATGAATTTAGAAACTGATTTTGAGCATATAAAATAACATTAAATAAACTATACATTAACTTTATATGATTAAAAATATAATTTTGCCCTTCCTAAAAGAGACTGTAATTTTAGGTAATTTTGACTCTTTAGTTTTGTCCTTTTGGCCTAATAATAATATCTACTATTTATAAAACTGTATCTTGCATGCTGGGTACCGTTTGAGGCACTATGCTACTTGATTCTCAAGCCTGTGAAATAATAGGAATCCTCATTTTACACATGAGAAAACTGGAACTCCAGAGAAGTAAAGTAACTTGACTAAGGTTATAAAATGAGCAAGTAGCAGGAATGGGATTTCAGCCCAGGATATTGTGATTTTTGAAGCCCTTATACATTCCTAGCACTTCCCTGCCTCTACTTAGAATGTTTTTTCTTTTCTTTTCTCTTTTCTTTTTTCTTTTCTTTTCTTTCTTTTCTTTTTTCTTCTTTCTCTTCTCTTCTCCTTTCTTTTCTTTTTTTTTCCCCTCCCTCTCTCCTTTCTCTCCCTATCTGCTTTGCTTCCTTCCTTCCTTTTTTCTTTCCTTCCTTCACGAGCAGGAGAGGGAGAGAGAATCTTAAACAGACTCCATGCCCAGTGTGGAGCCCAATGCAGGGCATGACCTCACAACCCTGAGATCACAACCTGAGCCAAAATCAAGTCAAACACTTACCAGGCTGAGCCACCCAGGTGCCCCAAAACGAATGTATTTCTAAGTCTCATTATAACGAGTCATTTCTTTCTGTGGTAGTCTGGATAACTGCAAAAAACATAACCCTGACATCTCCATGGCTTTATAGTAAAACACTTCTTACTCATGTAGAGTCCATGCCAGACCCTGCGGAGTACCTGGTCAGTGACTCAGCAGTCCATCTATTTTCTTTAAAATGTTTCATGTAGCTATTTTTAAGAAAAAATTACTTGTGATTTCCTTAATGTGTTTTTCTGAGTAATGATAATCTGAAACTCAGACAAGCTTTTCTCTTTTCTCTGAAAGACCTAATAATTTAACTGAATATTTTAGAAATCATAACAATACATACTTTGTATGAGGTTGCTCACCAGACATAGATTCCTCACCCCTACCCACACATAAATATCATCTGGCTTTTAAAAAAGCCCGAGGCCCAGGCCCCAGCCCCATGGCTCTTATGTCATTGGTCTGGGATGATGCCTACTCTCTGTATGTTTAAAAAGCTGCCCACTTAATTCCAGTGAAAAGCTGAGGTTCTGATTTTTAAAAAGCCATGTCTTCTCTTACTTGCTTTCCTCTTTGGCTTAGAAACAATGAATGTGCAGAGTAAGATAAAGTAGTTACCTATTCTAGTCCCACAAATTTAAAGTGGTTGACTTAATCTTAAAATATTTTCTTCTGACCCAGTCTTATGAAATTAATAATATCAGCTGTGAACATGATCAGTTCATTATTTTCCTCCATTTTTATGGTCCTTTTAGTTTTAAAGTAAAGTTTTAGGCCAGCCTGAAGACTTTAAATTTTAAAATTAGTAGGTTTTGGATTAGTTGGTTATAGTGAGGACCTTGTTAAAAATGAAGATGAGGTGAGGCGCCTGGGTGGCTCAGGTGATTGCGTTCAACTCTCGGTTTTGGCTCAGGTCACGATCTCAGAGTCGTGAGATCGAGCCCCATGTCAGGCTTCGTGCTGAACATGGATCCTTCTTAAGATTGTCTCTACCTCTCCCTCTCCCTCCATGCACACGGGTTCACACTGTCTCTCTGGAAAAAAAAAAAGAAAAAAATATTCTTTGGTTTATGTGTGTTCTCAAATGTCTAATGCAGCCATCCTAATTAGGTTTATTTTTATTGCAAGTCACGTACATGTTTCTGCAGAGTACTCCCCCCACCCTTAATCCACAAGTGATACATTCAGAGTCCCCAAGTGGATACCTAAAACTGCAGATAGTACTGAACCCTCTATATGGCATGTTTTGTGTGTGTGTGTGTGTGTGTGTACATACCTAAACTTTAATTCATAAATCAGGTACAGTAAGAGATGAACAATAACTAGTGATGAAGTAGAATACTTATAACAGTCATACTGTACTAAGAGCTATGTGTGGTCTTAATATCTTACGGTACTCTTATGAGGAGAGAGGATAAAATGCCTACATGGTAAAGTGAAGGGAGGGGAGTGACGTGGGTGCTGTGACACAGCGTTAAGCTACTGGTGACCTTCTGACAGTATATCAGAAGGAGAATCATCTGCCTGCAGACTGTGGTTGACCACCAGTAACTAACTGCAGGCATGGAAAGCAAACCATCGATAAGGGGAGACTATATATAAGTTGCAGTTACATTAGTTTATTATGTTACCTTATTTTTACATTTTGTTTGTCCTTTTTTTTTTATCTTTATGAGAAAGGATCTTAAGGACTTGTTTTGTGTCTTCCTCACATTATTTTAGAATATTAAGACTATCTTTGGATTTTGTGATGAGTGATGACATATACAGATCAGATTTTTTCAGTCTCACAGGTAGTGTAAATGTGTATTTGTTGGGCCTTACCATTGCGCCCTCTTTGCACATCATTTTCAAGAGCAGGACATTTTTTAAAAACCTCTTCATTTAGTGGCAGTAACTGGGATGGTGGACTGAGCATGCCTCCTTTTAGGGCTGACCCTCCTATTTTCTTGTTCCTCTTTACCTTTCTTCCCTGTGACTTTCTCTCCTACCCAGATAGGGCTCCTGCATCTCAGCCCCAGTGCACACTTTAGGGCCCTGGATAAGTTCATGAGGACTTTGTGATCTTCCAAATTATAAAGCTTGCATCAGTTCTAATCATTTCCCTTATTTATTCTTACATCTCTGGTGATACATAGGGAAGACTCTGAGGCCCCCCAGACCTCCATGAGTTAAACTAGTAAAATAAATGTGTAGAAGATGCGATCCAGTAGCTATAGAATCCATCTTTTAAGAAGAATGTCTTTCAAGTCAGAAACAAGAAGAGCAGGACAGCATGAGTACATTTTCCTCAGCAAAAGGAACATTGGTCTGGGTGCTTGTAGCACAGAGTTGAGGAGAACCTGGTACTGCATGCGCCGGTGAGTAGTTGGGCCCTCAGGCTGGTGCCCATGACCATTACGACCATCAGTCTGTATATACTCGTTCCTCTTCGTGGCACTGCACGATCTTCTAATCATAATGGAGCTTGCATTTATAGGTAGTTTTTATAGGAAGGAAAGGTACTGACAAGGCAACTTTGTGCCTAGTCTCTGCCAGTTATGACTCCTTATGAGTTAATACATTTATATCTGCACTCATTTATGAGTCTTTTAATATTAATATTTTTCATAGCAGCAGTATTTATTGAGTGCTTTGTGAGTTTGTCTAGATTGAAATTCTGTGTGAGGAATGGATCATTCGGAGGTGCTGGGAGTTTCTGTGGGCCTGCAAAAGCAGAGGTCAGGCCTCCTGATTGTCCAGTGTGCTACTACCACCTGTGGTTCCAGCAGCAGCAGGACACTTCCAGATGCTGCTGTTTCACAAGTACCAAATCCATGGTTTTAGAAAGGCATTTTCCCCATGACCATCCAGGAACTCCAGTTTTAATGTAACAGAGGTGTTAGTTCTCATCCCTCTTGTGCTTTTGCTTTGTTTAGAATTAAGCATTCATCTCCCTGAAATTGTCTCCCTATTTTGGGACCACGAGACCCTGACTCATCTTGCTGTTTTTGTTACTGATAGGCATAATTTATATACATATATACATACATTTGCTGACATGCATATATCTACATGCATAATTTACACAGTAAAACTCTCTCCATCTGCCCCCGTCATGTGGGCCTCTCTAGCTTATTCCTCATCTTGCTCTCAGTTCACTGTTGTTCTCTTACATACTTACCCTCCGAGGGACAAGTACTGTGACGGTTTTATGATTCCAAGGAGGAAAGTGAGAGAAAAACCATTCCAAAATGTATAGGAGAAATAAAAGGTGGGGTATGGCACTTTTGGAGAAATTAATATTGCTATAGAAAATACAAATTCTAAACTTCAAAGAGATGTGTGTGGGTATGAACAGTGTGTCAGCCTATGTTGAATATACTGGTTTGGAACACCCGGAATGCTATTCAAGTGTCTGCATATTAAGGTTTTAGGACTGAAATTCTGTCCTTAATTTGGGCTTGGGACAAAGATTACAGGCGGAATAAACCAGTTATAGGAAATTTGACATACATTCATAAGTGTGCTTTTCTACAAAATACATAATTAGAATATCCCAGGCATTGGTGACTTGGCACTCTGTTATCTGTTGTATCAGGGCAATTGTAAGTAGAAGCTGTCGTTAGCTCAGTGTGGGTACCTGAAGAGTCAGACACTGGTGGGTGCAGGACCCAGGCATCCCCCAGTGAGTGTGTTCACCTTGCTCTGTCATTTTCACCTGATGCTGAATGGGACACTCCCAAACCTCAGGTGATGCCGGACACCTCAGATCCAGCCATACCCTTCCCATTCCCATCTACATGAGTCTGTCTGAGACGGTGCCACCTTGAGCTTTGAATCTTTCTCTTGCTTTTGAAAGCTTTTCAATTATTCCCTATTGTTATTCTTTCTCACCCTAATCTGTCCTCTCCTAGTTATGGTTCTAGCTCAGCTAATTATAAACTGTGGTTTCCTAATCAATTTTCCTCCTATTGGGTTGTCCTTTAGTGGTTTTGAATGCCAGAGGAAGTGTTGAAGACCCTTTCTTAAGTAATGGCTCCTGTTGTTTCTGTGTCTTTTTACGAAGGTGGTTATTTAGCTCTTTGGCATATTATGATTATCCATCAGGAATTTAAGACAGAAATTCTGCTTTCAGGAACTAGGTTGAAATTCTGCCTATCTCTATTTCTACATTGATTTGAGATCTGAGTTGGCAATATCTAAGACTGGAGATTTAATAGCTTCTCATCCCAGGTCTCTTATGAGTCCAGAGTGCTGCCCTGAGCTCTTAACTAGTCATGCCCTAGACACACTGGCCTGGAAAATGGAACTGCTGCCTGCAGTCTTTTGTAGCCATGGCTGCTAGTGTCGAGAAACATAATCTTGGTACAGCATTGATACTAGGATTTGAGAGGCAAATATTTAAATTCTTTATAAATCCTTTAATTTGAAGCTTTAGTAGGTCGTTTTGGTATACCAGTAGACTGAGTTTGGAAAGGGGCTGACAACATTAAAATAGAATTTTTAAGTGCATCTAGTGCCTGTGTACTGATACCTTTTTTGTAAGGAAATCCTTTAATAGAGTTAAATTCAGGGAAGGAAAAATGATGGTTGCAATTGTTAAATAAGCTTTCACTTATAAGTAAAAAACATTTTTGTATCTGTTACCCTAGTTACCAAGCAGCTTTCCTGTATTTCTAGAGAAAATGGTCTCCGTCATTCAGAGTAATTCTGAAAAGTGCTTTTTGGGGGCAGGAGTAGAGAAGATTTGTAGAGAAGAGTACAGGAGGTTTCCCAGAGAGGCAGGACACATTGCTGAAATAGCCATTTTCACACTGAGTCTTTCAGGGCCCTCCACTAAATAGGAACTGTATTGGATTGTGAGTGGGTATTATCTTTTAGCTGGGGTATCCTGTTAGCCAACTTAACTGGGTATCAAAATTACATTTGAACTTTGGAAGGTTGCTGCAGTTAACATAGGGTGTTGCTATATTTGTATAGGGCTTAAAACTTTATTTAAAGTAAATGTGAGACATTTCCTGTATTTGGAAACACCAAGTGTATCTCAAAGGAATAAAATCAGAAGTAGAGACCAAATTTTAAAACCCAAAGAAGCTGGAGATGACAGTTTCTGTCCTAGAAGGGGAATGTATCTAACCCTGTATTTGTGCCTTTGTTCTTAATATCTGAATGTGATACAGTTTTTACAATATCTCACAGGCTGGGGTTGGCCAGGGCTTAAGCTGTATCTATTTTGCTAAAAGATTATTTTCCCTGGAGAATGGCAGGCTGTTGGATCCCACTGGTGCCTATGAAGAATTCCATCAGAACTTACTGGCAGGTGGAAGAATGGGTTTAGGAGGGTTGGAGGAGTTGAGTCCAGAGGGTAGCACAGTGAGAGACACAGGACAGGCTGCCAGTGGGCTCTGAGCGGGGGAAGTGACATGGAGACATACAGAGTGATGGCGGGGTGAGGCTTTAGAACCTCCCTGAACAGCTGGGTTCACGTCTCTGTTCCAAATCAATAGGAGGAAAAATGGGAATGATGTTTCAGAGTTTTTGAGCAGAGTCTTTGACATTTAAAGTCATTATAGTGTATCTAGGGCAGCTTCTTGCACCGCCTTACGCACAGGTTAGCTCTCTTTCCTGCCACAGAAATACTTTTAAATGAAGCCGTGTTTCTTGCCTGTTTCCTGTAGTGCTCCTGTCCACCCAAACCCCAAAGCCACAACCCTTACCTCCTCCCTCAGTGCCTTATAGACCTCCCCAGGATCCCTGGGCCCTTCTGGGTTTCGTGCCCATCTACAGAAAGTCCTGGCCTTTCAACCGAGTGCTTCATTTCCTGTGAAAGTATTGTTACTGAACTGGGAGAAACAGATTAAACACATAGAACACAACTTGAAAAACTATTAAAATTTAATGAGAACATTTCACATTACAGAAAGTCATTCTCTGAAGTGGAACAACCATGATTCCACCAAAGAAGCCTGAGGCTGGTGGACATTTAAGGGAGTTGGTGTGGAAAGGCCTCTCTGCTGGCGGTTTTCAATCTCCTGCCTTGGCCATCCTCAGCATTGCTACCGTGGGTCTCTTCTAGTCATCCCGTAGGCACACCACAGCTCTTCTGAAACATTCAGGACAGTATCGGTGATTGTTTGAGGACAGGGTAGGTCTAGGCAGCAAGAGACACACCACTGGCTCCTCTGAAAGCTGTCTAGGCCACCTGATGATGGGCATCGCTTCGTTTTCTTTTCTTGTCCATGCAGTCTCACATCATACACAAGTGCTTTCCCTCCACCCTATAATCAAGAAATTGAAAATACTCCCATTCTCATGGATGACAGGCTGATTTTAAGGAGTTCTATAGCCAAGGAGTTTTAGAAGCAACACCTCCTAAAAGAACAAGATAACAAATAGAATTAATTCCTTTTGAAAAGCCGTGGTACAACCCCTACTTCATAAATTGCTGTACTTCCTTAGCCTTTGTAGTGTCCGTGTGATGTTCTAAGGAGGAAATTTAACAATTCCTTAGAGACTGAGGCCTTTGTAAATTATGAACAGACTTCCCATTTATTAGACCCATGGTCTCTGTCAGGCATTTTTGTGTGTGGTAACTGCTTTGAGTCCATTTCTCCCTTTGTCTTACTTTCAATACTATTCCTTTATTTTGAATATATACTTGTGAGTCTCAACTGCTAGTGCTAGTCCACCACTCAGTGACATTCTGGGGGTTTCTACTTCATCCCACCTGGGCCTCCTGGAGCATTTCAAGTTGCTCCTAGAAAGTGATATGGCTGTGCAGATGACAGTCATGAATTCAGTCCAACTGATTAGTCAATGTCTGTATCCAAATAAGTGGTGTCCTAATTGATGCCCTTTCTGGGGAGCTTAGCACTAAGTAGTCCCTGGGGGTCCATCTGCCTTCTCTCTGTTTGGATGCCCACCCTTATACAGAACTGCTGTTGCAGCTTATTTTTTACTCATTCCAAAGCTAAATAAAATACTCTAAAGCTATCCATTAGCTGCCTACTGACTTTAAGGATTATTTGATCTTAAAGGCCATTGTAAAACTACATTTTAAAATTAAGCAATCATCAAGCACAGGTCTAGTGGATGTCATTACAGAGCAGACGCAACTGTGGTGGCTCTGAGTCAGCTCAACGCCAAGTGCAGCGACTTACCTGCCTGCAGATAAGTCTGCTGTGGACCTGGACGAAACCAAAGGTTTATGAAAATGACACGGTCAGCAACCCGTCTGCCTGTGTTTGACAAAGATGCATTGCTTAATCCTGTTCTGCCATGGCACAAAATGATGTATGTTTGCTCACGAAGGTGGACGTGGGTGTGGTGCACTTCACCCCCCTGGTGCGGCCCAGGATAGAGCAGCCGTTCAAGCTGGTGGAGAAGGTGGTTCAGAACACGTTTCAGTTCCGAAGGAAGTACTGCTATCGAGGGCTTGGGTAAGAATGCCGTCTCTTCCTTTCACTGGCACTTTCTAAAATCCTTAAGCACTTTTAAAGATTAAGAATCTTGTTTTTATGATTCTTGAAGCGATCTGTAAATGTTAGTCTTCGTTCAGATCCCGAGGTGAACAAACCTTGACTCTCACGGAGGAAAAAGCAAACCCTTGCTTTAACCTCAGATGCCACTAACAGGTTTTAACATCAACACAACCTAAAACTGACAGTGACCCTGTATTGTGGAGGCCATGATTTCTCAGGGCAGACCATCCAATCTGACCCCGCATGTGGTGGTTTTTCCCAACCCCAACAAGTCCTCCAATTCTTTAGGCACCATCTGGGTGCCCTACAATCCAGTTCAAGTCTGACATTACCTGGAGTGGCACAGACCCTGAAGGATAATGATTCTAGGGCCACAAGACTGCCTACACTTCAGATGCTAGTCACAAGTCCCAGGTCCCCACTTGTATTTCCAACCCACAGGCCATGAAATGGGGATTTGTGACAGATCTCTCTGCCCCTGCCACTATAGTTTCAGTAGTTTGCTAGAATGGCTCACGGAACTCAGGAAATCTCTATCAATTTATTATAAAAGATGTAACTTAGGAACAGCCAAATGGAAGAGATGTAGGGCAAGGTATATATGGGAACCGAGGAGTACAACGGAGCTTCTCTGCCCTCTCACCCTCCCAACACCTCACGGTTTTCACCAGCCTAGAAGCCCGCTGAGCCCATCATTTAAGAACCTCTATGGATTCTTAAATCCACAGTTTATTAGATCATTGGCCACCGGAGATTGAACTCAGTCCCTAGCCCATCTCCTCCCTAGAGGGGTCTGGAGGTGAGCCTGAAAGTTCCAACCCTCTAATTACAGGGTTGGTTCCTTTGAAAGTTGTAGACCCTGAAGCGGTCTATCTAGGGGCCTTACCAAGAGTCCTCACATTAGTACAAACACAGGTGTGGTTGAAAAGGGGTTTTATTAGGAATAACAAATAATGCTATCACCCCTAACAGGAAATTTTAAAGGATTTAGAAGTTCTGTGTCAGAAACCTGGGACCAAAGGCCAAATAATATACTATCACACTAATTATCTCCTTTTTAAGGACACACTTAGAACCAGGAAGCAAGTACAGTGTTGGAGCAGCCAAAATGTTGTCATGAAATATTCATACAAGCACGTTTTTATTTAATGGAGAGCCTTTTGTTCTGCTGTACACACACACATACACGGCCACTGTGAGGAATCCCAGACAGAACATGGTGGTTTAGAATCCACATGCCTCCAGAGGCCCTGAAGTGACCACAGTGATATTTTATATTCATGGACATCCAAGAAAATGTTTAATTAGGCCCAAGTAAGGCAGGAAGGGGTGGGTGTGTGTGTTTAAAAGCCTGCCATCTAATATGGTCAACTTTTAGCTATTTAAAGGTGCCTGGCTGTATAGGCACACATTTCTCGTTTCCCAATCACCCCCATTAATATAAAGCTCCATCTCTTCTCTGGTTTTGTGAGGTGTCCCCTTCGCACATGAAATTATTTCAGGTACAGTTCAGAGCTGCATCCTGAAATCACTGCAGCCCACAACTCATTCTTACAGATTTGAGCTGACTGATATGAAATCCTTGTCTTGCCGTTGGTGGCTCTAACTAGGCCAGGGTTTATTCTTCACCAGGTAGTTGCTACTGCTCTAGCGGAGACTTCAAGAGCAGAGTTGGTGACAGATGCCACTGGCTACCTTGGTGCTAGTTAGAATGATCACACACACAACACACACACACACACCCCATAGGCTGCAGGCCCAGCCAGGATGTGTATCATTTGATGAGAGCCCCAGCTGGATTTCAGTTCACACTCATCACCCTTCACGCAGGGTGTGACTTGTACAGCTGTACCTGATGGCCCTGATTCATGGTGGGGGAACAGACATGAAGTATATTCTCTTTTGGGAATGCTAGAACTGGCCTCAGAGCTGGCCCTGGTGTTTCCAACCTTAATGATGGGCCCCTTCATTTCATAGACACAGTCCCTTATACAGATAGGGAACCTAGTGTGCCATGCTTTGCCTCATTGGTGTCCTTCAAGCACATGCACCCACACATCGGTCACCAAACTGTACTCCAATATCACAGCTCACCCAGACACCATAGAGAACTTGCAGTTCCTTACTGAGAGGACCAGCAGCCTGTAAGAGAAACTCCACTGACATTGGCCATGATCTCTGAGCTCTGTAGAGCAACTATTAAGAAATAAAACCTAGGTGTAGTTTTGCAACATTTCAATCATCAGTTTTGCTGTTCATTTTAAAAATGTGATCTGCTTGGTTAGATGAAATTTAAAATCCATACTTCCAATCAGTTGTAAAGCTGCCACAAGGTAAACCTGAAAGAGAGAATGATCTCTGTATTTTCATACCTCCTATTTTCAAACTTTGCAAAGAAGGGTCATTCTTTGAGAGTGAACAGTTCTAAAATCTAAGTTCAAATTACAAAAAAAAATCAAGAAATAAGTTTTATATTGAAATGAGGCAAACTAAACCTGTTTCTGTAAAACTAAAACAGAGCAGATGTTTCTTTAAACTTACCTTAAAGATACTTGTATTGCGCTTTGGAAAGTATTTCCCCTCATGGACATACCTCCCAGGTCAGATTAGCTCTGCCTTCAGGGCTCCTCTGTACCTGCTGCGCTGGCATGGCCAAGAACCTTCTCCAGTGGCTGGGGGCCCCGCGGACACTCCCTCCCATTGTGATCAAAATGATGTCATTTTCAAGTGCAAATAGAAAGACACATCATGGTTTACAGAATTTCTTAAGTAGAATTCTGATGATTTTCTCTTCTCAGAATGTTATTCCCTCAGATTCACCGTGTGGAAAGCACTGGGAAACTGTTAGAGCTGGCAGACGTGGACCCTACCCTCCGGCCCAGCCAGCTCTCCGTCTCACACTTTAAGAGCCTGTGTGATGTATACCGAAAAATGTGTGAAGACGACCCACACCTCTTTGCTTACAATTTCAGAGAAGAACTCAAGCAAAATAAAAGCAAAAATCAGGAAGAGGAGGATGACAAGGAGAGAAATGGACTATAAGCAGCATATCAAATGTAGATTTCCACAACGTTGAGCTGCTCAGATGTGTACTTTTGTCTTCTACCGAAGGATAATAAAAATACGATTACCAGATGTGACGTATTTCCCTTTTACTGTACAGCTTGGTAGAGAAAATAAATATAATCAAATAAGATACAGTACAAGCTTTTTAATATATATACTGCATAGATATGACAGGTTCAGTATAAACAGCATCTGTTACAACCTTACAAAAATGAAATATCTGCACATTGTGCCCCTCACCCACATTAAAATAAATATGCTTTAAATAAAGCAAAAACAGCTCAAAGAAAAATGCCCAGAGGATTGGGTGGGGGGAAAAACCTTTTAAAAACTATTAATCACAACTTCTCCATCTTACTTTTTCCACATAAATTAAAATAGATTGTAATTTTAAGGATCCTAAGTCATTTTGATACCTGCTCAAAAGGGATATAAACTAAGTAATTTACAGATTCTTACAGATTCTGATCAGTTTAATCTAGTTCTCTGATCTATAATAAATTAAAATAACTTAAATCTTTACAACTATTTTGTGGGAAAATGTATGCTGCACAAACCCCAATAACAAATAGGTTTTCTGCAATTTCCACTTCGCCACCAGTTTAAAACAAGCAATTAAACCCATGTCCGGACTGAAATTGCACTACAACTTTCCATGGCTCTCCGCTTCATAAAAGCACTCCTCATTGACTACCGATGTTAAACTCTGGACACTGAACTCTCGCTGCAGAACAGAACTGAGATCAAGGGTGGTGTTTTCAGATTGACTGTCAAGGGACTGGTGACGGATCTGTGCCTTTAGCAAAGTTCCCCTGTCCCGTTTGGTGCTGTTTGCTTTCCGTTTAATGGCGCAGAAGTGCCCCCGCACCAGTTTGGGCGGCTCCCCCTTGGGTCGGCCCTCTGTGCTGGGCTGCTGCTCAGCTGCGTTTGCGTCCGGGTCATCGGAGATTCTCAGTCTCTGGAACTGAAGTTCAATGTCTTTGGTAGGGCTGCCCTGTTTGAGAGTCTGATGGTAGTCCTCATCTTCGTCGCTCAGAATGTCACTCTCTTTGATGAGATTGTCCGGGAAATCAGCCAGGCCCGTCTGGGCGTGTTGCAGGCAGTCCTGCCGGCTTCCACCTGGGTGGCAGCCACTGCTCTGCGTGCTGCTGCTCAGGCTGCACTCGTCAGAGTCCAGGGAGCTGGCCTTGCCCGGCTCGCTGGGCCACTCGCTGCTGGAGGAAGTTTTGAGGACTTTTAAGGACCTGGAGGAAGCTGCAATGAGGAAAAGTGCATCTCCTGTCACGATCAAGAAACAGACTCCACAGTGCATAAGTTTTGCATTGTACATTATAAGATTTAACATTAATAACTTAAAATTTTATCATTTCGCTTTTTTACCAACTATCCTGGAACTTGGGGGAAAATGCAGATACTGCAAGTGTGGAAGTTTTTTACTTTGGTTTATTTGAAATGTTAGAGGATTTGGCATTTCTAGATGATCAATTACCAGAGCCCGACTGTTTAGATAGAAGAAGCTATAAACTGTTACAAAGGCTTTCTTATTTTGCCAATGCATAAATGAAAAAGTTACTAATAAAATCTAGGTCCCTTTCTTTCACTAAGTACTTTGAAATTGGATAGCCAAGATTATATATTTCTGTCCCTGCCTTCTCACCTTGTTTATTTCTCTTGCTTCTCAATTAAAAGTAGGAAAATGTCCTTCGTCACTCATGAGAACTCTCTCTGCTGGAATTTCTAGCCAACTCTCAGAGATTTAATACGAATATTTAATCCTTTGTGTGTGTTTAATTTCTTTCTCTTTGTTGAAAGGAAATGGGGGGCTCTCAGTTGTGATGTTTCTGTGGGCAGTTACAGCATAGTTTTGATGGCTACAGCTTATTTT